ACACACTAGTCTCACATGCATTAACGATATCCCACTCTCGTTAATACTCGACTATGGACATTTAGATAAATATTTATTTCAAGATGTTAGTCTCATCAGCAGAAAAACACTATCTGATAAACATCTTTTAAATATAAATCTAGGAATATAATATTTGTTTACATTAGCATGAGATGTGTAAACATATTATATCTGCCTATACATGATAGAATAACGATAAACAGTTGGCCATCAGGGCACAACTCCAACAGTGTAATTTGTGAAACCAACATTCCAGACAAACTCTGAGAATGATTCTCAAAGAATTTTAGAAACGGAAATTTTGTAAATTTCCCCACATTCAAGAAACGCAACCTATACTCCTACAACACGACAAGAGCAAGTCTAAGAGTATATTCGACGCAAGTCTCCATGAAAGGAATTCAAACACGTTACATCTATGATCCGCGTATATCCTTTCTCGAAAGAGAACATGTATGTCATACTCATGACACTCAACAAAACAAAGAGAAAAACAACTTTTCAAAATTGGTGTTTTATAAAAACAATGGATATTCATGATTTTATACATCATCATTTTAAATGACTTCACCTAAGGAAATTTCGGGGACGAAATTTCTTAAAGGGAGGAAGAAATGTAACGCCACAAAATATGGCCTAAAATTTATTATAAAACAAAAGTAGTTTTTGTCCAATAAGGAATATTTATACGTTTGACCAAAAATAAATGGATTTCCAAAATAATGACTTTTTGTTAAAAACTTAATTTTATGGATATGTCTCGAAGAGACGAATCCAACGGTACATTTTATGAATCAATCTGATTTATAGATTTCAAGTTATGACGATTTTAAATATTAAAATTTGTAACTTTGACCCATAAATTTAACTCAATTCAAAAGTGATTTCATAAGATTAAAAATCTTAATCTTTGACACTTGACAACACCATATTCATCATTGGAATATAATTCATATATTTTTATCTCATTCATATTATAAAATTAATTTATGACAGAGACAGACCCAGACATTAAGAAAAATAAAAGTTATCAGAAAAATATTTTGATTACGTCAAAATTTTTAATTTTGACTGTCTCATTTCAAAAACACAATTCGTTTTCAATTCGGAGCAGTTTGGACGAAAAAGCGCGTACCATTTGGAGTAAATTGTTCAGTTTTGGCATAAAGCCAAAACTTTATTTACCAAATCACGTAGCCAATCTTGGAGATACTGACAACCCGTCAACCCCAATTTTCAACCCTCCAACCACTAACACCCCACTAATATAATAACTCCAAAGCCTTTTTTGTGTATTTCAATACTCCACCACCATCTTCATCATTATACATCATCACCATCATTCATCCATCCATCTCCTCTCCATCTCTCTCTCTCTCGGCAGAAAGCCAAGGGAGAAATGCACACCAACTCCATGAATATATGCTAAGGAAGAAGGAGAAACAAGCAAGAAACCATCCAAAGTTTCCAAAATCCTGAGCTCAAACACAGCAGCCCACTTCTAGGTAAAATCTGAAATTTTTCATCCATTATCTCGAAATACTTTCTGAGACAAAGTTGTAGCCCCGGATGATACGAATCCAGCCCAACAAACGGCTTGCGATTTCGTTAAGTAACGAAGAAGATATGGCCAAAATACCGGGACTGCGCCAGTGGTGGCGAGCTCCTCGGGTTGAACCATGTTTCTTCACCATATTCATGTTGTTCCATTCCAAATACTTACCATAAACTCTCTAACGGTTATTAGGATCATCCGAAAGGTATCGTAGAGAAGGTTTGGTGTTGGAATATTGAAGTTAATGAGTTAATCGTCGGAATCGTTGTTCATCGACATATCCGAAATCCTGGACAGCAACTATCCTTTGATTTCAGGTCCGATTTACGCTATTTTACATCTCTTAAATCAAAATACTTTCTATACGAAAGTTATAGCCTTACATCTTAGGAATCCACAGAATCAAACGGTTTGCAGTTCCGTGAAGAAACGATGGAGATATGCCCAAAATACCGCAGGCTGTCCAATTGTGACGAGATTGACAAAGTTGGTGAATTTCGATGTTGTTTCCACTCCTGCTCATCCGTAAGGTTTCGACCGATGATTTCCAGGTCTATACCTTTGCGTTAGACTTGTCGAATCATTCATCACATAGGTACATGAACATATATATTAATCCATATGTTGAAATTATCCCAAAATATATATGTGATGCATATATAAGTCATCTATATGTTAAGATCAAAATACACCAAATCTATAAGGTTAATATACACATAAGTAAATATAAAATTTGGAAATCGACCCTACAATATGTATATTTCAATCAAAGGTTTTTAAAAGACGTAAACAAATATTTTGGACCCTCAAAATATCAAGAGTAAGACTCGCATACTCAAACGGTCGACGCAAACGGTCGACCGTCGTGATAAAACTTCGAAACGAACAATGACTGTCAGCCAAACGGTCGACCGCCGGTGGCTGACGGTCGACCATCGCCCACCCAGCCGAGAACCGCCGCCGCCACCCAGTCAACAACGGTCGACCGCCGGTCAACCGCGGTCGACCGTCACGGTGATCCGCCAATCCGACCTGATGAAGATCAAGGTCGACTGTCGCGCAAACGGTCGACCGTTCCGAGCCCTGTAGCTTAATTAAATAATATTTTTATCAGATTTCATCCAAATAAAATAAAGTATATTTATCCATTCATATTGTTTACAAATTGTTCATATCATATGACTCATATCATCACACATATTGTAGCATATCATTTCATGTGCATGCGTAAGAGATCATGCGTAATTGCGTCTCTTATAGCGTGATGTGCGGGACTTACTAGTCCGAGTACCACCCCTACTTTCTAGTCTCCCTTGAGAGACTAAGGCCGCGTGAGTTCGTCGTACCAAATGGGCGAATCTCATAGCGCAAGGGTGTCCTTGCTCGTTAGAATCATGCATCATGTTATTATCATCAAGTACAATTACATTGATTACCTAGGCTTCATGTAATCATCATCAAGAACAAGCAAATTGATTAAATGTGTCATCATGTAATTATCATTAAATATTTATCATCATGAATCATCAAATTGACCATATGATATAATGTGCCATATCATGAATATTATTATTATACATTTGTGGACGTATATATATGTATATGTATATGTCTGTGAACCATTCTACAATTCTAGCGTGGTACCACTCAGCGGTTTCGCTGAGCGTGTAGTTTGTATTTTTCGTTGACTACACGTAGGTAACAAGAAGACAATGATGGAACCTTTCCCGGAGGGCATTAAGTCAGTGGAGATGTAAGGATGCGTCCGTTTACAAACTAGTAGTCTAAAAATTTACACAGTACTAAACTAATAATAACATGAAGGCGTAATGAGACTTTTATAAAAATTTACCCAGCGCTAGGTCTCAGACATTTAAATTGTAAATATTCATTAACAGTAAAAGTTTACAGTTCTCTTTAAAAATATATTGAGAGCAAAGTGGAATTAAGCACAAATTCCGTGTTATACGGATTGGGGTGTTACAGGAACTGTGCAAGTAACTAGTTTAGTTATCAGGACCGGTATGTATTCCCTCAATTTTAGGTGAAATTATTAGATTTCATTTCATACAAATCAATAAGGTGTGATTGCTTGTATATTAGATAAGATAAGATCAAATCAAATTCAATCAGATCTTATTGCTTGGATATTTCATGTGAGCCAATGCATCTCAATTTAACATGTTTATATGTTGTTTAGATTATATCTAATGAAATCAGATCTCATCATATCAGATTAGACTAGATCAAATTAAAAGAGTTTTAAATATAACTAATCGGACTAATTAGATCAAATCAGACAAAAACAGATCTAATCGAAATAAATCAAAGTCAAATCCAATAAGATGAGATCAAATCTTCAAAAATATCGAATGAAATCAAATTCAAATCTAGTAAGATTAGATCAAATATTTAAAAGAATCAATTTAATTGTATAGGTCGTGTCATATTTACCTGATTTAATCAGATCAAATTAAATTCAAATTCAATAAGATCACATTTAGTCTTCAAAAAAATCAATTTACTTATCAAGGTTGTGTCTTATTTGCCAGATATAATCTTTAAATGCATGAGATCGGAATTTAGTTAATATTCTTAAAGTTTACCTCCAAATCTCTACAATTTTAATTTACCTTCTAAATTCATTTTCCCTCCTCTAAATTTCATTATCCCTCTTCCTAATTTCTCTTTTCACTTCTTTGAAAATTGTAATTCTACAAAAAAAATCAAACCCAACTCAGTACATGGATCTCCGATCGAGGTGGAAAGCAGCGAGCAGATCTGCGAAAATCAAAACTAATCTAAGTATATTTGTAAGGATTTGAATTAAAAGACTGATTTGTGCTAATTAATCCAAATAATTAAGGCGCACCAGGTGGAACTTATAGGATTTGATCCGATTAGATCTGTTTTGGTCTTATTCGATCTAATTAGATCAGATCTGATGCATTTAAGGATTAAATCAGGAAACTATGACACAAAATATACAAGTAAAAAGATATTTTTAAGATTTGATCTGATCTTATTGGATTTGAATTGATCCGCTTAGATCTATTTTGGTCTAATTCGATCTAACTATATCCGATCTGATGAATTTAAAGATTTTATTTTTTGGAAACCCATCCTATACTATTATGAAAATGGTCCGGTTTGATTCGGGATATAATTTGTTAGAACCATTTGAAAACTCACTTTTCGGTTCGGTACATTATCGTTCCAATTCGAAACAATATCGAACCTGTATTTTTGCCTACCCCTAATTGAAAGTGGTACATAAGAGTGAGAAAATTTTTGGACCAAAAAACTTTTTTGTTTCAAAAATCAGATTGCTGCTTCTAAAAATTTTCAAGTTCATCTCAAATTTTGGAATCCCTCCAGATTTTTCATTGCCTGCCGCCTAATATGTGCCCCAATTTCGCAATTAGGTCTATCCCGTCCCCTTCCGAATATCTCTTCTCCCATAGGTCTATCACAGCCATCTCTTCGTCCCCGCTGACCATGCAGATTCCGGCATGCACCAGAACCGACCGCCACTCCGTCTGACGACCAGCGCTGAGGGATAAAACCTCATTCCAGTGCTTTCGAGTGCTTCGTCTGCCACTCTTTCCGCTAGTATTTTGGTTACTCTCGATTCAATTCTAGTGCTCAGGATACAACCCCTGCCAGGTTTATGACTTTTAATTTTTTCCAGTATGATGAGTTTGCATAATTAATTATCTCACGAGGGTTTGAGCAGCCAATTGGCCTTTTGATTCATTAGTCTATAATATTTGACTTTGTTTCTTTTCTGAATTAGTTTTGTTTTTAATGTTTGGTTAAATTTGATTATCAATTTGGTGTGAAGTTTGACTCTTTGGCATTTGGAGCTTCTCTCAGTTATTGTGTATTTGGAGCTTCTCTCAGTTCGATTGCATTTGTACTGCAAGAATTCATCATCTATACCCTCACAATTATCCTTTTTTGGTTTTGTGCTTTTAATTGAACCACCAAGTGTAACTTCCACCATAAATGTCTTGTGTTCTTCCAATTCAGCCTTGACCATATACACTAGAACTCCTAATCATTTTCCCTTTTCAATGGGAATACAAGAAGTTCTTCTCAATACGTTGTCTAAATTAACCATGGAAGTTTGCTCTGTCATGGAACCAATTATAAGCCCATTATCAGTTCCCAATCCCCCATTTGCAGTCTCTCATGCCTCAACCCATGAAATGAATCCCTCAACATGCTCCCTCCTTTCTGCAAAAGCCAAAGCATTTGTTCCTAAAACACATATCACCCAACATCAGGTTCCCACTTTAAGTCTAGTATCTCCCCAACCGGCTCTCTCTTTCTTGGGTTGTTCAACATCGGATACGGAAAGAGATAACTCTTGGAACATCTCTAAAGCCTATGGATCTGATTATGAGCAGCAACATTGTTTACTGAAAGGACACCTTCCAATAGATGACACTTTTGAATGGGAGACTGATATAGAATCAGATGAAGAGGAGAGTAAAGGGGGTTGGCATGCAAAAAAAGAATCTGTCAAGAAAAGAAACCAAGCAAGATTTGAAAAGCTCATAAGCCACATTCAAGGAGGGGTCATAAACAAACCAAGAAGAAGTAAGAGACATGCTCAGCTAAGGACCCAACTCATTGATGAAAGGAACCTAGAGTCATTCAACTTGGAGTAATTGGCTACCATCAGACCAATTTAGTGATTCATGCTCTTCTCCATGAATTATTTGACTCTGAATTCTTAATTATTTGGTTCAATTTAATGTTTCTTTTTTCCTTATGGTTCAACTGCAATCCTGTTCTAAAAACCTCCATGTATTGGAAAGCCATATGCATTAGACTCTAGCCCTGTCAGAGTGGGAGTTTTCATTCAGAAACTTGGACAGAATCTGTTACAGCCTTGAAGCCTTTGTATGCACCTTTTGTTCAGGAATGCAGCGAGCAAGTAGTGAGAAAGCATAATTGTGGGGTCTCAGTTTAAGCATTGATTGGAGGGGTCTATGAAAGAACTTGATTTGGACTTACACACAAGAGTGTTTCTGCACTACAAGGCCAGCAAGATAGCCAAGAGGATTTGCTCTTTATGGGTTCTTATTGTCCTGCATAGCTCTTTTTTTCTTTTGGCATTTAGTTGGTTGTTTGTAATCGTACACTTATGTTTTTTTTGGCACTTCTGTTTGGGCCTTGCCAGCCCCCCTCCCTTGGACCTTTTATTTTTCTTTCTTAATAAAATTTTTCTTTATAATATATATATATATATATATATATATATATATATATATATATATATATATATATATAGACACAACACACACATAATGATTTTTTTTGTAATAAATAGAGAAATTTAAAGACGTTATATTCTATCATAAAAACTTATAATTTTGTATAATACTTAATAGTATCAAATGAATTTATGACGAGATTTTTCCTCATTAAAAGAACATTTTTAGGAGGGTTAAAATACTCGTATTTAATAGTTTTAATGAGAGAACTTAGATACCGTCATTATTTCTAATTAACTATGGAGCCTATAATGACGGGCAATGAGAGTAAATTTCCTCTCATTAAAAGGTTTTAATGAGAGTTTTCTTTACTTTAACTACGCTTTTTACTTACATTAAAGTACATTTTTCTTGTACTGATAGCTAAACTACTGTTTAAAAAGAGTATTCTTAACTTATTATAAACAACTCTAGCAAAATAATCATATGACACAGACAATTAGTAATAGATTACTCTTTCTCATAATTTTAAAAATAGTCATACGCTTACTATCCACACTACTCTTTAAAAGGGTTTTCTTAACTTATTCTAGACAACTGTAAAAAAAATCCCATGTGACATAGACTACTAGTAATACATTACTGTTTCTTATAACTTTAAAACTAGTTCTAGGCTTTATTACCTGACTATTGTTTAAAATTATTATTCTTAATTTATTATAGACAACTGTGGCAACAAAAACCGTATTTTGATATGACACAGACAACTACTAATAGATTACCGTTTCTATGAACTTTAAAAACAGATGTTGGCTAAGTATCTAGACTATTGTTAAGAAAGAGTATTGTATTCTTACTATAAACAAAAGTTCCAAAAATACTATATGACATAGACAACTAGCAATAGATTATTGTTTCTCATAACATTAAAAAAAGTTCTAGACTGAATAACTAGACTACTGTTTAAAAAAAGTATTCTTAATTTATTATTGACAACTGTGATAACAAAAACTGTATTTTGGTATGACACATACAACTAATAATAGAATACCATTTCTCGAAATTTTAAAAGTAGTTTTAAGCGTAATAGCTAGACTACTACTTTTGTTGCCAACAACAACAAAGAGTAGTCTGATTTTTTAACTACTATTTTTCCATAAACAGTAGTTAATCAACAGTCGTCTGACACTATTTTTGGCGTAGTGATTGGACACCCAGTGAGGTCCAATGAATAGATTGACCGATGCGTTGAATCCCGCGTTCGGTCCAAAGTTGACCGTGGAGGCCGAAGCCATAGTCGGTACGAGGAATGGGTTCGTATTACCAACGGGGTAACCCCCCGTGGTTTCGAGCCCGGTAATGGGTCGAGAAGCTGACCCAAAGATTGAGCTCAGCATTGAGAATTGTTGGATATTTTTAATAAATTGGACATTTTTGGACATAAATTTGGTAGGGTCCACAAAATTATATTCCGAAATAATTATGGACGTTTAATCTCGTAAGTAAGACGAATGTCTTGACATATTACACGCCATAATAGGTGCTCCGGTGAATGAGAAATTAATTCTCAAAGTTGAATATGAGGGAAGAGTAAAAACCCTTGTCCCACACCGGTTTTAGAACCTTTCATATTCTCATATTTAAGCTTAGGCTTTTAATTGAGCTTATGAAAGGAAAAAGAAGAGGACTCCTCGCGCGCGCCGCCGCCGCCGCCGTCTGTCTGGCTCGGCGCGCGCGTCAGGTCGTGGCGTGGCGTGGCGCGTCGCGTCGCGCCCGCATCTGCGGAGGGGCTAACTTTTTACGAGACCGAATCAAACACGCATGTACACTTCGTTAATGACGAAGTGTATGGAGTTAAAGCATGCATGCACTTACGCATGAACAACTCTTCGTAATGTACGACAGGTCCAGCGAGGAGTCCAATTCCTCTCCTATAAAAGGAGGGCTCGGCTGCAGGGATAAGAAACACTCAAAATCTATCTCTCTCTGCGTTATAAAGGTTTTCCGACTATATCCCTTTTCGGATCATCTTCTCCGCCAATAACTTCCCGTCGTTCTCGTTCGCCGGTGCTTTGTTCTACCGCTCTAGACCCAGCACGCTGCGGTTTTATCCTGGGAGGAGATTGCCCACGTTTTGCCAGTGCGGGAGGCGGGCGATACTACCCTAAGGAAAGCTCTGGCGACTCCGCTTTCCTTACCTACGCTTCCAAAAATGTCTCCGGCGACCCGCTGTTTTCATCCGACGCAGAGTCCGTTCGTGTTCTTGCATCCGTTCGAGCTCCCGAAGAACTCCAATTTTTCTTTCCTTTATTTTTCGTTGTAAAATCCGAACATTTTATAAGTTCGGATTATCATATTTTATTTTTATTCTCGCTGTAATATATTTTTTCATCAATCTTAAGGTAGTATTGATGGAGTTCGGATTCGGCATCGCGGGTTCCTCTGGCAACGAAATGAGTTCCGAAATTCCAGTGGAAACCTCTTCGGTTGCCATGGTTGTGCCGTCCTCACCACTGCCCTTCGGGTCAAGTGTGGGGGCCGCAACCATGACGTCATTCTCAATTCCGAGCTCGATCTTCGGGTCGGCCCCTCGACCCAATGTCGGGCTCGAAACCACGAGGGATTACCCTGTTGGTAATTCGAACCCGTTTCTCAGACCGACTATGGCTTCGGCCTCGACGGTCAACTTTGGACCGAACGCGGGTTTCACCGCACCGGTCAATCCATTCGTTGGACCTCATTGGGCGACCAACGGACCTTTCCTCCATACGCCCAATGCAGTTGGGGCCATTTCAGTGCCCGCAAGTTCGGTCTAGAGGCCAGTGAAGTTCAATGGCACGAACTTCAAAATGTGGCAACAAAAGATGACGTTCTTCTTGACCGTCCTGGGATTTGCTGAGTACCTGCAGCAAGATCCTCCCCAGCCTAACGATGCCAATGACCCCCTCGTGGCGATGGTGAACCAAGCGTGGTACCACAATAACTATCTCGCCATCAACATTATCCTCGAGGAGTTGGCCGAGACGCTGTACCCCGTCTACGCCAGTGCAAAGCTTGCCAAGGAGCTTTGGAGCAGCTTGAACAAAAAGTATCAAGCTGAAGATGCCGGCACGAAGAAGTTCATCGTTGGGAAGATGCTGGACTATAAGATGGTCGACAGGAAATCTGTTTTTGCCCAGGCTGAAGAGCTTACGGTAATCTTCAATAAATGTAATGAAGAGAAAGTAGGCGTCAGCGAGGCTTTTCAAGTAGTGGCCATCATCTACAAACTTCCTCGGTCGTGGGAAGACTTCCAAGCCGACCTGAAGCTCAAAAGAACGGAGCTGGAGGTGGAGGGGAAAAGGCGAATGTGGTAGAACATCCGTCGGGCTCCTCACATGGCGGGAAGGACAAAAAGAAAATAGGTCCTAAGGGTGGCATTTCTAAATTCGCAAGAAAGTGCTACAATTGTGGCATCACAGGGCATCGTTCCTCCGATTGTAGGAAAAAGAAGCCACATAAGAACAAGAAGAAAACCACTGAAGCCATGTGCACAGTGCTCGACAAGTTGGACCTCTGCGCAGTCATCACCAAGGTGAATCTCGTCGGGTCAAACCCGAGGGAATGGTTTGTGGACACAGGGGCCACGCGTCATATTTGCTCTAACCGGAGCATGTTTCACGAATTTCAAGAGACCTCCGGTGACAAGGTCTGGATGGACAGCTCGGCCCAATCAGAGGTTCAAGGGGTTGGCAAGAATAAGCTTAAAATGACCTCAGGCAAAGAGTTAACGCTTAACAACGTGCTCTATGTGCCAGACATTCTCAAGAATTTAGTGTCGGGGTCATTGCTGATCAAACACGGCTTTGGGATGGTGTTTGAATCAGATAAGCTAATCTTATCCAAGAAAGGGATTTTTATAGGAAAAGGCTATATTTCCGATGGGCTTGTGAAGCTAAATGTAATGACTGTTCATGAAAAGATTATTAAAAATCTCGTTGCTTATCTGTGTGAGTCGTCTAGTTCATACTCACCACCTCTATCGCTTCTCAATGCTTTGATTTTGCGATTGAGTTGATTTTCCACTTCATTCTTATATTGAATAAAAGCGTCTAACGCTTCATCTTTACTTTTCAATAAATAGATATAGCAAAATTTCGTGCTATCATCGACAAAGGTAATAAAGTACTTATTATCCCCTCTTGAAGGCTTTTTTCGAAAATCACACAAGTCGGTGTGAACCAACTCTAGAGGTTGAGTATTTCGTTCAATCCTTTGAAACAAACTTCAAGTTCACATTGCGTCAACACATGTTTCACACTTGTGAGTTAAGTCAATACTAAACTTTGGAATGTGTTCAAAGTTAATTAATTTCTAGAGAGATGCNTCATTCTTATATTGAATAAAAGCGTCTAACGCTTCATCTTTACTTTTCAATAAATAGATATAGCAAAATTTCGTGCTATCATCGACAAAGGTAATAAAGTACTTATTATCCCCTCTTGAAGGCTTTTTTCGAAAATCACACAAGTCGGTGTGAACCAACTCTAGAGGTTGAGTATTTCGTTCAATCCTTTGAAACAAACTTCAAGTTCACATTGCGTCAACACATGTTTCACACTTGTGAGTTAAGTCAATACTAAACTTTGGAATGTGTTCAAAGTTAATTAATTTCTAGAGAGATGCATAATTAACATGTCCTAATCTAGTCCAAGAAAGGGATTTTTATAGGAAAAGGCTATATTTCCGATGGGCTTGTGAAGCTAAATGTAATGACTGTTCATGAAAAGATTAATAAAAATCCCGTTGCTTATCTGTGTGAGTCGTCTAGTTTATGGCATGGTAGACTAGGACATGTTAATTATGCATCTCTCTAGAAAATAATTAATATGGAGCTCATACCTAAATTTAGTATTGACTTAACTCACAAGTGCGAAACTTGTGTTGAGGCAAAATCAACTCGAAGTTCGTTTCAAACGATCGAACGAAACACTCAACCTCTAGAGTTGGTTCACACCGACTTGTGTGATTTTCGAACAACGCCTTCAAAAGGGGGTAATAAGTACTTTATTACCTTCGTCGATGATAGCACGAAATATTGCTATATCTATTTACTAAAAAGTAAAGATGAAGCGTTAGACACTTTTATTCGATATTAGAATGAAGTGGAAAATCAACTCAATCGAAAAATCAAAGCATTGAGAAGTGATAGAGGTGGTGAGTATGATGCTCCACTTAATGAGTTTTGTGCACAACATGGAATAGTGCATCAAGTAACCCCACCGTATACACCGCAGTCTAACGGAGTAACAGAGCGGAAAAATCGCACTCTCAAAGACATGAAGAATGTGATGCTACTTAGTTCTGGATTACCCCAGAACATGTGGGGGGAGGCTGTTTTATCAAGTAATTATTTACTAAATAAAATACCTCGTAAGAAACTTGACAAAACTACGTATGAACTTTGGCATATTAGGAAACCTTCCTACAAGTATCTCAAAGTGTGGGGGTGTCTCGCGAAAGTACTTGCACTACCACCAAAGAAGATGAAGATCGGTCCAAAAACAGTTGATGGAATCTTCATCGGGTACAATAGTACGTCATACCGGTTCTTGGTGTACAAATCAGATAATCCTGAAATTCACAAGAACACGATCATAGAGTCACGGAATGCAACGTTTTTTGAGCACATTTTTCCGTGAAAGTTAAGTGGCGAAGCTAGTTCGTCCAAACGTTCTCATACTGAGATAATGGATAACGATGATCCAAATCATTTGAATTCCGGTGACGATGATGAAGTCGAACATGAAATTGAATTGAGACGAAGTAAAAGAATACAAACTGAAAAGACGTTCGGTTCTGACTTCATAACATATCTGATAGAATTTGACAAAGGAACTTTGTCATTTCTAATGGAAAATGAACCCGATATTCTATCCTGTTTGGTAGAAAAGGAACCACGGAGCTATCACGTGGCCGTAACCTCAACCGAGGGACCTTAGTGGCGAGAAGCCATAAAAAGTGAAGTTGATACTATTCTTCAGAATCACACGTGGGTATTGGTTGATCTCCCTCCAGGGTGTAAGCCATTAGGTTCCAAATGGGTCTTTCGGAGGAAAATGAAGCCTGACGGCTCCATTGACAAGTACAAAGCTAGACTTGTGATCAAGGGTTATAGCCAACACGAGGGCTATGACTACTTTGATACTTACGCGCCTGTGACTAGGATAGATTCTATCAGAATGATCATCGCATTTGCATCCTTACGAAACCTGGATGTTTACCAAATGGATGTGAAGACAGCTTTTCTAAATGGTGAACTAGATGAAGAAATCTATATGGAACAACCCGAGGGGTTTAAAGTTCCGGGCCAAGAAAAGAAGGTCTGCAAACTTGTGAAATCATTATATGGTCTTAAACAAGCGCCAAAACAATGGCATGATAAGTTTGACGTGGTAATGATGAACAACGGTTTTAAGATAAATGAGTCGGATAAGTGCGTATACTTTAAGGACACTTCTGAAGGGTATGTCATTTTATGTCTGTATGTAGATGATATACTCATCGTTGGAAGCAAGGACAGGATGGTTAAGTCCACCAAGGACATGTTGAACGCACGATTCGATATGAAAGATTTGGGTCTGGCTGATGTGATTCTTGGAATCAAAATAATAAGAAGACCAGATGGTCTGAGCTTGAGCTAATCCCACTACATTGACAAAATCCTTGATAAATTCAATAAGGATGATACAAAGATAGCTAAGACACTGATAGACGTAAATGTTCACCTTGGTAAACAACGAGGGAGTAGCGATTCTCAGACAGAATACGCTAGAGTTATCGGAAGTCTGATGTATCTGATGAGCTGCACACGGCCAGATTTAGCTTGCGCCATTAGCAAACTAAGTAGGTATACTAGCAATCCGAGTGCTGGGCACTGGAAGGCCATAGTCCGAGTAATGAGATACCTTTGGTATACTCAAGATTATAGCCTATGCTATGGCAGGTATCCACCCGTGCTGGAAGGGTACACTTATCCTAATTGGATTGCGGATAATAAGGATTCAAAATCCAGTAGCGGATTTATCTTTATGTTAGCCAGTGCAGCTGTCTCCTGGAAATCCTCAAAACAAACGTTAATTGCCAGATCCACCATGGAGTCTGAGTTCATAGCACTAGATAAGTGTGCAGAACATGCCGAATGGCTTCGGAATTTACTTGAGGATATTCCAAACTCGGAAAAAGCAGTTCCTCCTATTTGCGTCTATTGTGACTGTCAATCAGCAATAAGACGAGCTCGGAACAAAATGTATAATGGTAAGTCTAAGCACATTCGCCGTAGACACAAAACCATTAGAAAACTTCTCAATACAAGTATTATCTCAATTGATTATGTCAAGTCAAAGGATAATTTAGCGGATCCATTAACCAAAGGGTTAACAAATGAGCAACATGAGAAGTTAGTGGTAGGAATGGGTCTGAAAGCCCTATCCTGTGCTGGGAACATTCCATGAAGGAAAACCCAACCTAGGTGGTACCTGGGTTCAATGGGACAACCTACTTGTGGAACGAAGCACTGTCCTTGTAGGGGCAAGCCGGATCACCGACTTAACACCCCTCCGTTCCTACTGAGATAAGTGACTCCCGAAAACGATGAGGATAGCATGACCCTTTAATGATTCTTGAACTATGGACAAAGAGGTCCAAGTGGAGTAATCGGGATACTCTTAGAAGAATCACCTATGTAAGAGTGAAGTGCGGTCGCTTCAACAGAAGGATTTCAGGTTGATCTTGTCTAACACTCTCGCTGAACCACATGCGTGTTCCACGACCTTAATGGGCACACCCATGAGAGCGGAATGATGGTTGGTTGAAACTTGTGTATTGTATATCGTCGTTTACATAAACGGCAGTACAGTTCAAAGATATCACGTTCTACTGAACAACCAGTAGAGAAGGTACACTTTACAAGGAGTAGGTTCAAAGGCATAAAACCTACCTCCTCTTGCAGGTTTCAACTTCAGAGTTATTGCCACTTACATGAATTAACTTTTCATTCATGTGGGGGATTGTTGGAAATTTTTAATAAATTGGACATTTGTGGACATAAATTCGGTAGGGTCCACAAAATTATATTCCCAAATAATTATGACATTTAATCTCGTAAGTAAGACGAATGTCTTGACATATTACACGCCATAAATGGTGCTCGGTTGAATGAGAAATTAATTCTCAAAGTTGATATGAGGGAAGAGTAAAAACCCTTGTCCCACACCGGTTTTGGAACCTTTCATCTCATATTTATACTTAAGCTTTTAATTGAGCTTATGAAACGAACAAGAAGAGGACTCCTCGCGCGCCGCCGCCGTCTGTCTGGCTCGGCACGTCACGACACACGCGTGCGTCGAGTTGTGGCGTGGCATGGCGCGTCGCGTCGCGCCCGCGTCTGCGGCGGGGCTAACTTTTTACGAGA